GGATGGAACCTCACTATGGTGCAACTAGAGTCACCCTCTTATGGTGCGCTTCACTGTGTGGGACCGCAGCGCACCCTTGATGCCCCGATTATCAAAAATTTAACATGGTATCAGAGCAGGCCTAATTTGGGACCTGTGATGATTTAAAAAATGAACCCGACCTGGTTGTAGGCTCGAGCTTATGATGATGATTAAATGTACCTGGTCTGGTTGTAGGCTTGGGTTGATGAAGGACTCACAAGTGCTGGGGGCGTTGGAATATCCCTTGTGAGTCGTCCCACATCGATTTGATAGGGTAAATGAGTCTAGTTTATAAGCCTAGTTGGCTACTCCTCCCATCACCAATTGGTTTTGGGATGACACCTCACTATGGTGCAACTAGGCTCACCCTCTTATCGTGCGCTTCACTGTGAGGGACCGCACCCTTGATGCTCCGATTATCAAAAATTTAACACTTTTGGACCAATATCAGGTGGTATGGTTGTACCGGAGGCATGGTCGCGGCTAGGCTACGACCGGAGAAGATGATCGGAGATGCGATCGATTTCTGATGGAGTAGAGGAAAAGGACCGAAGCTTCGAGAGCTATTGGACTTTGGCTGGGGTGAATTTTGGGCTGCTTTATCAGAATTTGGGCTGGGTAATTAAATTTTTAATCAAATTGAGCTTGAAAGTTGAATTCGGCCCAATTACCTGGAGTGATATGGGCTGGGGTGATATTGATTATTGGGCTGACATGTGTGATAATTTTGGTTGGTTCATTTTATTTGTTGCCTGATGGAAGTAGACTGGGCCCGTTACAACTGGTTTGGGCTTTTATCATTTGGAGCAGGCAATTTAATAGCCTTATTAAACTGGGTCGTACAAGTTCTTCTCATGCGCTTCAAGGAATGCCGAGTTTTTCAGCATATGAGTCTCGGGGACGAGGCTCTTTCGAGAGCGGAGTATTGTCATGTACCCGATTATGGAGATGAGTCGAGTAGGATGAAGTGAAGGGCCTCTGCTTTATATATATTCAGACTTAGTTAATATTATGTTACTTTAGGTTTATTAGTAGTTATATTTTGTGCTTTGTTATTAGAAGATGTAATTGGGCCTATTATGAGATGTAGTAGTTACTAAGTGGATTGATGTTATTAGGCTTAATTTGGACCCATGAGTGGTTATTAAAAAGGTGAAAAAACGAGAAATGAAGTAAGAATTTGGATGACACAATTACCTTTCTCACTCTCTCAATTTCTCTCTCCTCTAATACTCTCTCTCCTCCCTCACTTCTACAACACACTTTCTTCCTTTCCCAACACTTTCTGCACTTCTCTTTGTTTTCAATTCACCAGAAAATTATACAAATTCAGAAAATTCATACAACAATTCCTAAAAATAGCCGATTCATAACAGTCAACAACTCAAAAGATCTAAAGAGTGTGTATCCAATTAATACTTTTAAAGACTTTAAAAAAATCAGCAAAATCTTACTAATTTGATGAGATTTCTACTAGGACTTTGTCTTTACAATTTTATTAAAAAGTTTTCAAAAGAAATTTAAAAAGTCTTATAAAGTCTTCCTACTTCCTTATCGAGACACTTGAAAGGTTTTAATTGAATACACTGTCACATCTAGTATTTATTAAAAAATTGAATACACTGACCCATTTAAAGATTTATAAATAAAAAATCTTAAAAAAAGTCTCAATAGAATAGATGGAGACGTTTTAAAAGTCTAAAAAAATTTTAATTAAATACACTCTCATTATTATTTTTAATTTCCAAGATCATTTAAAAGTCTAAAAATTATTTAAGGCATTCATTATTTTTAATTTCTAAAGTCCTTGCAACTAGACTGAAGCCTGTCATGCACCATTGTGTTAGTGAAAATCAGGCTGCTTATATCCAAGGTAGACAACTGCTTGATAATGTGATTATGGCACATGAAATGATTCACTTCCTAATCAGACATAGAAATGGTAGAAAAGGGTACATGGCCATCAAGTTAGACATGATGAAAGCATATAATAGACTTGAGTAGAATTGTATCAGAATGGTCTTGCTAAAATTTGGGTTCCATGCTGTGTTTGTCCAGTGGATTATGGAATGTGTATCTACTACTGCTTTTTCTGTAAATATTAATGGAGAGCAATGTGGCTATTTCAAGGCATCTAGGGGTATTAGACAAGGGAACCCAATTTCCCCTTATCTATTTATCCTAGTATCTGAGCTATTCTCCAGACTTATTAAGAGGGAAATTGACAGAGGTCAGCTAACTGGTGTTTGCATTGCTAGGGGTGGTATCTCTCTATCCCATCTTCTTTTTGCTGATGATTCACTAGTATTCTGTGGTGCAAATATACAATCTGTCAGAGTGGTGCTAAAGATTCTTGATCTCTATAATAAATTCTGTGGGCAGAAGGTCAATTTGTTGAAATCCTCTGTGTTTTTTAGCAAGAATTTCTCTGTGGTATTGCAATCTTCTATTTGCAACTTGCTGTCTGGCATCCAAGTTCATTCCTCATCCAAATACCTGGGTTTGCCACTGGGCATTGGGAGATCAAAAAAGCAAACTTTTGAATATGTGGCAGAGGTGGTTAGAAAGAAAATTTCTTGTTGGAGAAATAATTTTTTATCCTTTGCTGGAAATGAGGTCCTCATGAAGGCAGTATTGAATGCCTTACCAGTCTTCACAATGTCTTGCTTCTCTCTACCTATCTCTCTGTGCCATAAAATGTCCAGTATGTTTGCTAAGTTTTGGTGGAGCACAAGAGAAGATGTTGCAGCAGGTATCCACTGGAAGGCTTGGAAATACATGACTTTACCCAAAGAGTTTGGTGGTCTTGGCTTTCATGATATGAGGCTCTTTAATGAAGCATTGATTTTAAAGCAGATATGGAGAGTTCTATCTAAACCTCAGCTTCTGATGAGTAGACTCCTCAAAGGGAAGTATTTTCCCACTGGCAGCATTCTTAGTGCTCAGAAAAGACAAAATGCTTCATGGTTGTGGGGGACTTGGCTTAATGTAATGCAGAAGTACAAGAGCCGTTTTAGAAAATCAATTGGCAATGGCTTGACTACCAGAATTTGGTAGGATCCGTGGATCCCAGGTCTCACTGCTGGCACTCATATGTTCTTCCTGGTAATAGACCTGAGGTTCAATTTGTGGGAGAGCTTTTTGATTCAACTAAATGGAATTGGAATCATAGTGTGGTTAAGGAAATTTTCAGTGAAGAGGAGAGTAATGCCATCTTGCAGATCAAGACTCTTAATCCAACCAAAGAAGACAAGTGGACCTGGGATAATGAGGCTTCTGGAGAATTTGTGGTTGCAAAGGCCTACTCAAAACTCATTGAAAGCAAATTCAGGGGAATGGATATTGCAGAAGGTAGCAATCAGGCTCACACTGATACAAAAATCAGATTGAGAAGCTGGAAACTCCATATCAAAGAGAAGCTGAAACATTTCCTTTGGAGATGCTACACAAACACTTTACCAGTTAGGTGTAACCTGCACAGGAAGGGAATGAAAATTGATACTATCTGCCAAAGATGTGGTGAAGACATTGAGACAGTTGAACATGTTTTATTTAATTGTAGCACAACTCAGCAGGTGTGGAAGTCATCTCCACTCTCATGGGAGTTCAACAGGGAGAATACAAGCAGTTTCAGAATCTGGTGGGGAAGTGCTTGTTCTGTGGACCACAAGGAAGTGTCTGAAGTTCGCATACAATTAACCACCTACATCCTATGGTGGTTATGGAAAGTTCGGAACTTATGGATTTTTAAAAAGGAATGGTTGCCGATGCAGATGATTGTGAGGGCTGCTAACAAGGATTGACAAGAATTTGCATCTCAAACAAACAGAAGAGTTTGAGACCTGACTGTGAGGGAGCCTAGGTCCAATTCTTGGTACAGTGGGCACTTGTAATCAAGATTCTTGGGCTGTGATGGTTGTTTCTTTTGGTTTTCATTAGTTTGCTGTTAGGTGTGTTCTGTGTTGCTTTTCTGTTATTTTTCTGTTTCCTCATTAGTAGCTGGGACTGTGGTGCTTTTCTATTATTTTTCTTTTGCCTTTGTTGGATGTTAGTAGTATTAAGGGCTCAGCTTGGTTGCTGCCTTAATATGCTGCTTTATTCTGGTTTGGTTCTAGGTTGTTGGATTTGTTCTAGACCACATTGTGTGTGTGGTTCTCTAATGCTTTGGAGCATTGAGCTTGCTAGCTCTCGAACTTGTATTATTTGTACATTTGATTGATATAAAATTTCCTATGAAAAAAAAAAGAAATACACTCTCATTATTTTATTTTATTATTATTTATGTCACTGTCGCTATTCATCACTAAAAGCCGCTCCAGCTGACTTCTCATTCACTCTGCAAATTTGGCTGTAACTGAGAATCTCTCTACATATCTCAGGTGTTATTCTTCAACCCATCCATAAAGAACAGAGACCCTCTTTCACCATTTTTGAAATATTTGACCTTTTCTCATGGAGTCTGACGCTTCGGATTTCGCGTCGAATCCGTCGCCGAGCGGCGGCCGGGGAACCGGACGACTCCTCCGGTCCCGCGCCATGCGGTTTGTGCGGTCCCCCGTTGCATCCCTAATCGAGTACTCCGGCGTCATTCGGTTGTTCCGGCCGGATTACTCTTACTCCGAAGAAGCCCTCCCTCTCGTCGCCGAGAGTTCCAGATCCGCCGCGATTGTTGTAAACCCTAGCGATTCTGAGAATACCGGCGGCGAGGTTTCGATTCGGATACTGGGGGAGCAGGATGGAGCTGAGGGTGGAGGCGATGGCGGGGACGGGGTGGGATTGGGTGCGAGCGGGTCCATGGTTGGGGGCGATGGTACGAACGGAAATGGGAGAGGTGTTAGCACCGGCGGTGACGGTGGTAACAGGGAAGGATCATCACAGAGGAGGTATGATGTTCGGCAGGCGGCTAGGTGGGTAGAGCAGGTTCTTCCGTTTACACTGCTGTTGCTGATTGTTTTTATCCGGCAGCACTTGCAAGGTGGTGAGGACGATCATTTGTTTCTGAGTTTATGTTTTTGTCTTGATTAATGTGTTGTGCATTTGCCCGGGAATATGATATTTCAGAAGGTGTGGGGAGTTGTGTTGGCAAAATCATCAATGGTTGCTGATGAGAAATGGCAATTTTGACTAGAAATGTGTTGCATAGTGTTTGGGAGTTTTCTGGTGTGGACATTTCATGATAATGCTGTAAGCTGTTATGTTTTGATCCATTAGATGTGTGCCAATAACGAGAGTTTAGCTATACTTATCCACCTTGTAATTATGCCTAAACACTGAATAATTTAATTATATAGAAGGATTATGGGGGATCACTTCTTTCTTTTATTATTTGTTCTTTGTTGTTGTAGGAGAACTTAGTCATCCTTAAGGATAAGAAAATTTTGTGCAAAAACGGTTGCTTTCTCGAAGATCAGAGTAATGGTTTATGCACAAATCATGAACACCATAACAGCTGTTTTGTGTACCGTTATGGCTTCACAAATCCTCCAAATATCATGTTTGAAGTAATTCTTCAAAAGCAGTTCACTTTGAAATATGAAAGGGCTGAAGAAAAGGACTCACTTTATTTGTATCCAAGATCTGGTCCTGCTGGAGAGGGAAATGTAGCCTATAAGAGGTTTTCTAAAAGAAAAGATTGTGATTCCTCTTTGATTTGTCTAATGTACTTAACGGGGGGCTATCAAGACTTTAGGTACAGCTGTTGGAGCAAGTGATGGCAACCTAAACTAAACAAACATTACTGCCTCCTGGCAGGAGCGGAGCCACTTGACTTGTTAGAAGAGGAGCTGAACCCATCAAAAGAGTTCTTGTCTACTTTGAAGTAAAGTGGGTAAAGCTAGGTTAATGAAACTGTTAGTATTTAAATAGGTGACAAAATAGTTTTGTCTTTTACATGTACTTGTGCTGTTAAGATCCTGAAGCTTGCTGATGCAATTTTGTTTTGATGCTTCACTTGTCTCTGTTGACTTTATAGATTGAGATATTGTGAGGCTAGTGTAGCTTCTCTTGCAAAATTATGAGAACACAGTTTGACGATGATTTTCCTCTCTTTGAATACAGTTCTTCCATCTTAGCTGCAGATGAGTTCATTACTAGTTTACTACTCCTATGGTGCATCATTTGACTATTTAGCTGAACTATTAGTCTCTATCTTGCTACCATTAGAAGATAAACAAACAAGATAATCTACTATGAAATTAAATGCCTTTTCAATTATGTTCCTTTGATGGGTGCCTTTCGCTTTTATGGTCATCCGTCTCGTTTCCTACTCCAAACTCTTGATGTTTCAGAAATGTTTCTCAGGATTTGTCGTTACGATTTTCTCCACCATAGTCTTGTGCAAGTCTGATGATGTTCTGCGGAAACAGACTGCTCTAAAGGTATGGTATTTTGTTGTTTAGACTAAATTAAGTTTCTAAGCTTCCGTTATATGTAAACTATTGAATCGTGATTTTCAGGGGGAAAGGAAGATCACTATCCTAGTAGGTTATTCCGCTTTCTTAATGCTTCATATATTAGGAATCTATTGGTGTAACTGGAGCAATGATCTTTTCCTTCCATTGTTCATGATTCCTCCAAAAGCAATTCCACCTTTCTGGCATGCGATATTCATCATCCTGGTAAATGGTATGGATTCTGAGCTGGTTGGTGCTTTACTTAATTATTGCATTTTTATCTTATATCCATTCACAATCTAAAAAATATGTCAATTTTAATCCAAATTCTTCTTCAACCTTTCCATTTCTTTTAATTGGCGAGATAAAAAATTTCAGTAATTTTTTTGCAGTCGCGCTCTATGATATTGATTATACTGAAAAACAAACCCTCTACGACAGTCTTGTTCAACATATCATTGTTTTCCATGGCATGCTGCCTTGCCATGAGTCTGCGGCATGGCAAAATATTTGGAATGTATGTTATTGTATGGTTTTCATTCCAATGAGAAAAATGATCTTCCATTCCACTTAGCTGATCGGTAACCGCAGATTGAAAGGTCTTTCTTTCTTTCTTCCTTCCTAAGTTCCTATCCCCTTATTTTTCCTTTTTCTTTCTTTCTTCCACACCCCCTCTCCCCTTATTTTTCCTTTTTGTAGGCAAAAGCAGGAAAGGTCCCTTATTTTCCTTTTTCTTTCTTTCTTCCACACCCCTTATCCCCTTATTTTTCATTTTTTTAGGCAAAAGCAGGAAAGGTCCCTTATTTTCCTTTTTCTTTCTTTCTTCCACACCCCCTATCCCCTTATAAACATATTGATGAAATATTTTAGGGTGTAATTTTAGGAAGATACTTGTTTTATTGTCTTTTTTTTTATTTAGTTGTTTTATTGAAAAATGTGATGTGATGAAATCTTATTTTATAACATCTTTACATGTAAATGATGGAACCTGATTAAGTTGTATTGATCTAGTAATGAAGAAACATAAGTGATAATTGGATGAAATTGGTCTTAGTAAGCTCAACAGGAAATTTAATGAGAAATTGAGTGGATGTGGATGGCAGTAGTGGACCTCACTCATACACTATATGTTTAAATTTTAAAGTTGAGTATATGATGGTCGAGTAAAATGTAGATAGCTCCCATCAATGATTTGTAGGGTTGAAATTGAATATAGAAATGAGGTTCAATAATATATGGTTAAAACTGTAAAATGAAGAGTGATATGGAAAAAAAAAATTAATGGTATGGTATAAAATATACATAATTCAACTAAACGGTAAAATGTGTGAAAATCTGTGCTAAGATGACTACCGTACAAACCTTTTCATATGGTGCATGAAAATATCACCTTTTCGTCAGTTTCATGGAAATCTTACTCGTTCTCTAATATCATCCAAAGCATCTTACTGGCATAATCTCCTCTCAGCACATCAAGAAAACAACATTGATGGAACTAGACCCTGTTTATATGGTTACATTTTTTTTTCCTTATGTTTTCTTTTATTTTTATACTTTCAGATATAATGGCGCGACTAGCAGCCATGATCCTGAAGTTTTTTTTGTTACTGTATTATAAGAATGGTAAAGCCCATAATTTTCGCAGACAGGTACATACATATATGCCCTTAATTTGTTTATAATCTAGTAATAGAAACATGTAAGTTGCTTAGGAATCTAATCTTGATATTTTGGTTATTCAGGGCCAAATTTTGACCCTGGTTGAGTATGCACTGCTTCTTTACCGTGCTTTGTTGCCAACCCCCGTATGGTATAGATTCTTCTTGAACAAAGTCTATGGGAGTCTCTTTTCATCAGTAACGACAGGATTGTACTTAACTTTCAAGCTGACATCAATTGTCGAGAAAGTATGACAATTAACAGAGTACTTGTTATTTCTCCAATTATATCTGTAGTCATTTTGGATTTGTTTGTTGGACTTACTGGACATATGCTCTATTATGCTGTTATTCAGGTTCGATCTTTATTTGCCGCCTCAAAGGCATTATCCAGGAAAGAAGTTCATTACGGATCCCGTGCCACGCCAGAGCAGGTACAATGTTTTTGGTCGAGCTCACTTTGGCTTATAGATTTCTGTATATTTCTTCAGTTTCATACTCCTGAAAATCTGTACCCAAAATTGATCGAACGGTTCTATTTGCTGATCCTTTTTTTTTTTTTTTTTTTTTTTNGGGTGGGGGGTTGGGGCTGTGCATCAAGCTGTCAAGATAATTTTGTGATAATTGTGTACATTATCCCCTTATATTTAATTATTTATATATAATTTCAGAATACGCTGAGCCTAAGTGGCAAGCTCGTGCGCTTCGTAATCCTACGTGGCGAAAAATCATGCTTCGTAACTTGGTTTGGATATAAAATAATGTTATTCTAAATCAATAATTTTAGGTTCGGACATTCCATAAAAAATATTGAAAAGCTAACTTGGGTTGTAATTCCATAATACTTTGACTAATATTACCCTTACTTTGTTTTTGTAAACTTACTTTTATGACTAATATAGCCTAAAATTTGTTTTTGGAATCTCTCACTTTTTCCAAATTGAATGTTATGATCAAAATGGAATCTCTCACTTTTCCAAATTTAATATTATTTATTTATTCGTAATTTTTCATATAACTTCTATGAAATTAGATATTTCGCAATCCGGTTTGTTTTGACATTCATATTCTATATTAGAAAAAATACATTTATCTGTATAATGAAAATTAAATTACTTATCAATTTTAATGACAAATATTAAATTGTTTATAAACTAAATAATTTATCTGAGACCGAGTTCAATAAATATTTAATATAGGACTATCGAATCTTTATTGATGACGAGTATCTCTTAATTAGAAGTAATGTTCAAATTTTATAAAGTATTTATAAATTTAAAACAAAACTTATATTATGTTTTTGTAAAAAATCCCCCTTATATATAATTCTCGAATGTGTTGAGCCTAAGTGGTAGGCTTGCACGCTTCAGAATCTTATGTGTCAAATTTTTAAGCTTTGTTGTTTGGTTTGGATGAATTTTATTATTTCCAATCCAAAAGTAACTAGGCTTAAAATATTCATAAATATGGATATTTATGATCATTTTTAAGAGCATTAGTTATGTTTTAACATCATTTCCTATTGTGGACGTGGTTATAGGGTATAATTTTTTTTTTCAATCTTTCTTTTTTTTTTTCTCATATTTCTTTTAAACTTATAACAAATTTACTAACTTAAATTATAAATACATTTAAAAGTTAATAATATTTTAATTTATTAATAATTTTTGATATATAATATATCGAATTAATCATGTCTTTGATGAACTTTGATTTGACATCTATGTTATACATACAAAATAATTAAATAATTTTATTTATATTTATAATTAAAATTAAATTACCTATTAATATTAATTCGAAAAAATATTATTACTTAAACTAACTTAACTACAAAGTAGTTATCTGATATAAATTAGAAAAATATATAATATAAGATGGTAAGTCGTGTAATAGACGGTATCATATTAAATATAAATAATAATATATTTTTCAAAAAAGTATTTAAAAACTAAAAAAAAATTTGTTGTTATTATTATTTAATTTAAATATAATTTTCTTAACGAGTACCCGTGTGGTACACGGGTATTGTACTAGTACCATATTAATCTGTTTAGTGTTAAGACAAGTTTTAGTTGTACACGATATGTTTTGGAAGCCTAAGGATGCACAAGAAGGTATGTATCGTAACAAAACGTTTCATTCGATTATATTTAGGTAAATGCAGCTGGAGACCTATGTGCTATATGCCAGGAGAAATTGCAGACACCCATTGTGCTACGCTGCAAGCATATCTTCTGCGAAGACTGTGTTTCAGAATGGTTTGTTTTTATCTGTACTATTTCTGTTGTGTTTCTTTTATCCTTCAAAGAGATGATTTTGTACATCAGTTCCCTTTGTTGAAATTTGTGGTTATTATTATTAGAAATTATTCGAAATGTTTTCTTTCTTCAGGTTCGAGAGAGAGCGAACGTGCCCTTTGTGCAGGTCTCTGGTTAGACCTGCCGATCTTAAATCGTATGGGGATGGATCAACTAGTCTTTACTTCCAGATATTCTGATCTCTCGGTAAACTTTTCATCCATACTCACCTCTCAAGTGAAGGGCAGTTTCCGAAGCTGGCTTCGCGAAAAAACTTCACTATTTCTTGCCGTCTATCAAGAATATCACCATGACAAAAATCTGCAGCATGTTTGCATATTTATGTAGTTATAAATAGGGCTGTTCAAAGTCAGAAAAAAATTGGTTGATGAGAGAATATTTTGGGTTCAGTTTCTGTGTATAAATTGTTTTAATTCATGCCTATGTGTTTCAAAAGTATTCAGTACTATTGAATGATTAAAAAAATAAAAGGGAGATGATAGAGAACCTTTTTCAGATGTATATATTGCCACGGGGCATGTATAGGATATAAATATATATTTGAAGAAGTATTTGTAACATAAAAGATAAATATATATTTCTTTCATGGATTTTTGTGTGAGGAGTCGGTTAAATTCGTCATATTTTCTTATAATAAACATGAACATTTATATTACGAAATATCATATTATTATTGTCTTCCTTTTTTATGCTACTTTTCATAGTATTAAATTTCAGTACAAAAACATGTAAATCAATTGAAAATATATGTCTAATTGTTAGTTCTATTTAACATTAGCTTCACCATTTTTCTGGCATATGATGAGATTATTTATTTTACATAAAACCACGTCAACTTAAGTGGTGAATTTATTTCTGGAGTGATTTATCTTTTTGTGATGTTGAGTAGATATTATAATCTAAAAATATTAGAGAAAATTACACTCTATACAAGACATTTCTCATTTTATTACATAAATGAAACCAATTTGTAAATATTAACAATATAGTAAGATCTATTGTTTTTATTTGCATAATTACCATAAATCTCTTATAACAATAATTTACATATTTAATCAATAATTAGGTGTAATTTATGGTAAATTTATCACCTTCCACGGCTCTCTCTCTCTCTCTTCTTCTCTTTGTTCNTGAAGACCGACGACCCACGACTTAGATGAGCAGGGGTCGGCGGAGCGATGGATTGACAGACTCGCTGGGAGTAAGGCGACCCATAAGCCCCGACTTCCACTAAATCGAGGAGGTGCGGTGGTCCTCCAACGACCGGAGATAGCGGTTCGTCAGCGGCGGTGATTGGATGAGGAGATGCTGAGACGGTGAAGTCGGCGGAGCAAGCTCGACGAAGATTTGAGGGGCCCGCGGCTTGACGCGAGCGTCGTTGGTGAAGGTGATGTTGGAGGGGCCGACAGTCCCGGCTACGACGTCGCCAACAACTATATTATCGGTGAAGAAGGTGCAAGATTCGAGCAATTTGCAAGAACACTAAGAGAAGAGAAGTACACATATATCGAAATTGTACAATGGGCAGTATATGTTGAGTATATAGACAATATATTTTCAATTTATAGACATTGTATGTATTGTTTATTAAAAGATTTTATAGATACATCTGATATGATTTGTTTCAATGTTTATTCATAATTTATTGATCATGATGTTTTTCAATGTTTATCCCTACCAATCTGAATATTTCATAATTTGTTTCTTTGTTTATATATTGATTATAAAAAATTATACACGTACATATTAAGTGTAAAACATGATTATGTTATGTATATGTGCATGAATGAACTGTATATATGATGTTTATATATTATATATACTAGTTTTTGTCCCGTGCATTTGCACGGAAAACTATATGATACATGAAAAAATAATAAAAATTATAAACAATAGTAAAAATCATAACAAATTCATTGAAAGAGAAAGTCTCTGTATAGTCAATACCTTCAATTTGACTAAAACCTTTAGGGACCAGCCTTGTTCTATGCAGAATACTGGCTCTGCTTTAGAATCGGTCTCGTCCTGTAGTTGCGCCAGAGAATCTATAAAAGGACATCTAAGACTAAGAACACGTTGCGAGCATTGTGCTTGCCCTGACTTTTGTTAGTATTTTGTTTAGCCCAGCGGCTCTTGCTCACCCGACACGATCGTACGAGGTCACAATTCACCCAACACGATCATCCGGGGTGAAAAAAATTAAGAAAAAAAATATAAATATTCTTAAACACTTCTTTATAAAACAACGTCGTGGTTTTTCTATCGTCAAAATCTCCCTCAGCTCAAATCAAAATCTTCAAACTCCAGTGACTCGTAACTTTAAAAAGCGCCACGTATAATTGCTCATGACTAAATGCAGAGCTCTTTAGTAGTAAGCCGACGTGCGACAGAGACTGTTTTTGACTCTTATTGATCATGTCATAGCATATGAAACACTTCTTTATATTGTTTGTCCATGACTCTTATTGATTGGTAGAGATTGTCCTTGCTTCTTAATAAAAAAAATACTATCTAAATATAAATGAGTAAATATAATATTAATTTTTTATATATACAAAAAATTTAAAGTAATTGATAATGAGTATAGAATTACCCTTGCGGATTCAAGTTATTTCAACGATGTTCTTTTTATATATCTAAGATTTAATTTTTTTTTTTTTTTCCGATTTATATGAATATAAGCACATTTGACTAATTTTTATAAAATTTATTGAAAAAAGTTACTATTTTTTTGAAAAATCGATAAGATATTAAGATAATACTGTACTTAACATAAATGTGGGATTAATTAAAATAAATCTTTTTAATTTAGTCATTAATTAATTAAATTTAACTATAAAAAACTTTCTTAAATGTGAGATTAATGAGTAATTAATTAAAAAAAAATGTAACTTCTTTTGGAGGGAAAGTGAAAATATTTTTATTAAATGTTTTATTAAATGGGATTAGCTAGCAATTATATATATATAGATTTTTCCAGTCTTAGTTCATTGAAATGGTTTGATTTCGACACAAATAAAAAAAAAATTAAACTAGGAAAAAAAAAATCATCAATGAAGTATCTATCTAGAATTTAAACACAGAAAAAAAAAACAAGAAATCAACACACAAACAGAAAATATATAGTCAATATACAAATAAAAAATCATACGACGTAAATAACAAAACAACACAAAAAAATAGTGCCGAAAAAAAAACTTGGTAGATCGCGTATATATTTCGGAATTATATTTGCATATACACAAATAAACGCCATCTAATTAGTAAGAATGCAATTATAAGTCCCCCATTCGCAAGATTGCAATTTCTTTAATTCGTGTGGTAAAGAGGGTTTATTTATGTTATGGATCCTCTTTCTCCATAGTCAATTGAATACATATATACTCAAGTACACAACTAAAAATCCAAAATCCAAATACTTTTAGTTTTATTTTACTTTCTCTCACACACACAAGATGCGAATCCATCTAACCTAGTTAATTTCCACATCTAAACCCTAACAACTCGACAATCGGCGACCTGTGATCGACAACTAACAGCAACCAGAAAGGCAGAGTTGCGACTCCAATCGGTACGGTTTGACCGCAACAATTATTGATGTTAGAGGTCGATGGACCCGCACAGTATCTTTTTGTGCGGATAGCTAATGTGTTGTTCGTAAATACAACTAGATTCAACCTGTGAAAGCTCGAGCTATATAGTTTGCTTCGCTGAGCTCGAGCATCTAACAGAGTCGAGCCGAGATCCTTCAATTTTAAGTTCATTAACAAATTTCGAACTAATAATTGATTCGAGTCGATCCGCTTACAATTTTAAGTTCATTAATAAGCCGATCCAATCCAAGTTTTCACGAGCTTAAAGCAACCCGACTAGCTCGAGCCAAGTCTTTATCTCGTTTGATAGTCGAGCACAAAATTCGACCACGAACTACTCGGCTCTGTTTGAATAAACACCGTTAATGGCCTTGGCTAAGATCATCCTCGAGCTTGAAGTTGAAGGTCCACAAACAGGAAAATACTATTGGCGAAAACATCGCCCTCACCCTAAAGCCTCCAGAAAAAAGGTTCTTGCTTCTTTCTCCTCCCGGAGAACATATCGTCTCAGAGCTGCGAAAATCACATATGAGTCTCACTGTTGTAGCATGTGGCAAACATCAGCTTCCCTTACGCGTCCTTCCACAACCCCACAATTTTTATCCTCACGACCCAAATTCACAGCTTTTGCTGCACTTCAACTCTGCCTTAAAATGGGACCCATCTCAATTTTCTTCTTTTTCCTCGCATAAGCGTATTAGGCAACCTAAGTTTCTTGTCGGAGCTTCTTCGCCTTCTTTTCCACTGGGTGGCTCTGGTGCAGATTATGCTGGTAACAGTTTAAAGACTTCATCTTTGTGTGTGTGTGTGTGTTTCATCCAGTAATTTTCTCTACCCGTTCTTGTTGGGGGACTCTTGATTTCGTAAAAGCTTTTCTAGTTGGTGGCTAATTTGTGGGTTGTTGTTGTTGTTGTTGTTGTGGTTGTTGTTGTGGTTGTATTGATTCTCTTGGTCTTTGGAAGTTTGCAAGTTTAGCATACTTTGCCTGATTGCAGAGATTGTTTATTGACCATGAACTAGTTATTGATAGGATGCTAAAGCGGTCTTGGAACAATATGGGAACTATAGGACAATTATAAACTATGTGATTGAGGATGATGAAAAGCAAAACCAAAACAGACAGAATTTTGTTTAATAGTGTTTGCCTTATATTGGTTGGAAATTATGTTTGTCCCAGATCGATTAGTTACTATGCTGTTTGTTGTGTATAAGTGTGGGCTGGGCATTCTCTTTCTTCAAGCTAGCCTTTTGGAGATGAGTTATACCCAATCCCATCTATCATGGTGTTGGAAGTTATGATTGTCCCACCATGATTGATTAGTTATTGGGTTTTTTATTGTGTATAATAATTGTGGGTTGGTCATCCTCTCCATTTGAGCTAGCTTTTCAGGGATGAGTTCTACCCAAACCCATTTATCAATGTCTTATATGTCTTTCTTGTTATCCTTAAAATTTTTCAGACCAGCTGCAGGGATCAAGACCAGATAAAAAAAGGGAACAAGTAGTTGGTGTAGATGAAGAAGTAGAGGATCCGTCACTGTTAGCTGATCCGGGTAGTTGTTTCTGTGAATTCAATGGGGTCCACCTACACCACAAGATATGTGAAGCAGATTCATCAGCTCCAGATACTCTAATCGAGGCCTCAACCCCACAATCTCCCGATTCTGCCAAAAGGATTGGTTTTCGTTTTCCTATGATTTTGCTGCACGGCTTTGGAGCCTCAACCTTTTCATGGAACCGAGCCATGAAGCCTTTGGCCCGAGTAACTGGTTCCAAAGTTCTTGCATTTGATAGACCGGCATTTGGCTTAACGTCGAGGGTAGTAAATCAAATTAAGTGTTCGTCTTTGGGTAATCGAGATTCACGACCTTTGAATCCGTATTCGATGATGTTCTCCGTTTTGGCTACATTGCACTTCATCGACTTTATGGCTGCTCAAAAAGCGATTCTTGTGGGGTATTTTCTTGAATATGTTGGCAAGATATTTTCAGTAAAAGAATTATCAGGCATACCTCTAAACCAATTTTTCTTATTAATTGGCCATTTATATTTCAGAAAATGGTAACTAGTCATGATTTTTTGAAACAAGTTTTGTAGCTGTTGTTTATCAGAAGTTGACGACTAAACCCTTCCTGCATATATGGTCAGTTACTCAGCATAATTTTTTTTCTACAATTTGGATGGCTACAATTCTAATTGAGATTTGAGAAAAAGGGCCAAATGGACTATTGAACTCAGAAATGGCTATTTGCATGTTAGCAGCATCTACTAAAAAGTAAAAACACATTTTCTTGTTCTTTTCTTATTTGATAATGTTTCTCTTAGTTCAATTAGCAAGTTTACTTCGGCCATCTGCTTCCTCTATGTACGATATACATAAAGTTCACTTTTTTTCTTTTTTGGTTTAGTTACCATATAATCTATATGTACTGATAAATCAACAAATTACATAAATAAATTGTTAGAATATTCATACTCACACCAACTACTTGAAGATTGTCAGGCACTCTGCAGGGGCTCTTGTAGCTTTAGATGCATATTTTGAGGCACCCGAGCGTGTGGCTGCATTGATTTTTGTTGCCCCTGCAATTTTTGCACCACGAGCCATGCAAAACACTGTCAAAGATGAAAAATCAGATATTGAAAATCAAACCCAAGGAAACAGCTCAGATTTGAATTCCCGAGGGAACCTATTTTTTCGAATTTTCCACATTTTGTCAAAGTCTTCGAAAATTATTGCAGAGGTAATAGCGAATGTGGCAAAAGGGATGGCTGCCATGATAAACACTCTTTACAAGAAGGCTTTATCCGCAATCCTGCTATCTGCATTTGGCGTGATGTTGGTAAGTATTTATAGGCTAAATTGCATTTTTAATCATGTTGGTAATGTCGTAGTAATTTTAGTCCCAAGATTTTAACATTTCGCCTTTTGGTCCTGTGATTTAATATTTTGTTGCAATTTCAGTCTTCAAATTGCAACAAAATTTCAAATTCCCAGAGTTTTTATTAGCAATTTAAGTCCTGTAATTTAAAATTGTGTTGCAATTACAGTCCTGTAATTTAAAATATTGTCGCAATTTCAGTGCTTTGAGAACTGAAATTGCAGCAAAATGTTAAATCACCGGACCAAAAGGCGACAAGTTGGAACATTTGGACTAAAATTGCTATAGGGCTAAACCAACAAGACTAAAAATGCATCTTTGCCTATATATATTCATTTAGTTTTATTTTCAAATTCTGTTCTGTCATAATTTCCTGTTTGGTGTTTCAGATAAGATTGATAATCGGTAAATTCGGTATACCAGCCGTTCGCAGCGCATGGTATGACTCGAAAAAAGTTTCTGATCACATTATACAAGGCTATACAAAGGTGACTAGTTAATACTATTCGAGATCTACGCCTATAATTTTCTTTTCATTGTTCAACAAAACTCAATTTATTTCCAAATTTTATTTTTCTACAGCCATTGAAGATCAAGGGCTGGGACAAGGCACTAGCTGAATACACGGTGGCCATGCTTACAGCTTCAACATCCAACAACACAACAAGGCTTAGTGAAATCTCGTGTCCAGGTTCAAGATTCAATTATAATAATAACCCTGTATTTTTATTTTTTTTCGTTAGTGTGTTTATTTTAAGACGTAATATAACTTGTTTTGTTCTTATTTGCTTCAATGTTCACAGTTTTGATTGTTACGGGTGATACTGATCGTCTCGTCCCTGCTTGGAATTCCGAAAGGCTTTCTCGAGCCATCCCAAAATCGAGCTTTGAAGTGATCACGAATTGTGGCCACTTGCCTCAAGAAGAAAAGCCTGATGAATTTGTCTCCATTGTCGATAAATTCTTGCAGAAAGTGTTTGGTGGTGCGGAGGAACCGTGCATGGAAGCTGTGACCACTTGAGGTTGTGATGAAAGAGGAAAAAATGCAGTTTTAGTCCACTAGCTTAGAGTGTTTCTCATTTTTGCCCGGTAACTTATTTGAGATCTGAAATTGGTCCTAACTCTTCAATTTTAGCCGATTTGGTCCACATTTGTCTAATTACTCTAAAATTTAAGAATTACTGGACTAATTTCGGACCAAGTAACTGCCGAATTTCGGGGTTCGAGATTGAAATTTGACCAAATTGGCTGAAATTGAAGAGTTATTTGACCAATTCCGGACCTCTGGGCAAAAATTGGAAATACACTATATTAGTGGATCAAAACTGTAATTTCCTCTGATCAAAACTGTAATACACTATGTTAGTGGCTAAAAGGATTTTATGTTTTGTTGTATGTCAATTTAGCTCTACCAAACACTCGTGTAAGTATGCGAGGTGATATTGGTTGTATGTTTTCGGATAATCCGCTTGACAAAATTATGTTGTTAGCACTTGTAAGTTATAACAATGATGTAATTTAATGTAAATTTCACAACAAAATCATTGCATACCACTCAAATAAGCAGATTCTTCAATTTTAATGGGGTTAACTCAGAAGGATCCAATTAAGCTGGTAAATCTGATACTAATTAAATGGGGTTGAAGCAGTTTCAAAATATTTGACTTAATTATCTAAAATTATATATAGGGATCGAGTTACAGTTGAGAATCTCAAATCAATTAATGATTTGAGTAATTTGACACTAATACCACACATTAAATATAAATTAGAAGTACTATACCCTGTATTAAACGGGTGTTGAATGAAAATTTCATGCTTAGAAATTTCAAAAAATAGTATTTTTTATTTAAATTTGTAAGTATTTTTAAACAATGTTATTTTTATTTTCATTTAAAATGACACTCAGCACATGTAAAATTTGTTCATCCTATTTATTCTTACTTTTTTTTTAACTCATGTCATAAAATAGGCATGATGAATTAATTTAACTAATGATTAATAAATTCGTTATTTTTCAATTAGGATATATTAGATTTTTTTTTGGGTAAAGATAGATATATTTTTTTTTGTATATACAATACATATATTTAATAAAAAATGTCAAAATATAATTATTGATAAATTATATATAAAAATTGATAACAGTTTTTTTAATAATTCTAATAAACATGTATAAAAAGTGAAATGCGTATAAACTAGTACAAAACACCATAATATGAGGGTACGGATAGAAATCGATGCACATATAATTACGAAGTAATATAAATTGACATATTAACTTGGATATTCGAGTGAATAAGGGTGTATTTGTTTATAATTTATTTAAACTCATATTCAATTTATATTTAATATTTAACTCTACTTTAATTCAATCTTACTATTCTCAATATTATCAATATAATAAATAATATCAATCAATTTTTTTTACACATTACACCACCTTTAATTTATTATTCATCTACTCACATATTTAATAATATATTACTTCACATCATCCATTTCATACTTTTACATTAAATTAATCTTAATTATTTTATTTTAAATATTATTTTAATATAAACTCAAACTCTCACTAACAACTAATCAAATCAATTTTTTTAAAATTAACTCTTGTCGATAAAAAAACTCGTTTTTGTTGGATATATTATTTGTATCAATCACATCATTTTAAAATAAAGATATTAAAGTAATTAAAATTAAAAAAAAAAAAAGAATTTCAACAATTATTGCACCGTTGTCCATCTGGATTTGAACTCCACCGGACTTAAAAAAATTTAATCTAAAATCCGACAAATTTCCCTTTCTCTCTCTATTTTAGGGTCCTCCCAATAAAAGCCAATTATTCCTCTTTGCTCAATTCATTTGCAGAGCTAGAGAGAGAATTTGATCTGACACAGTAATTTTCAAAGGGAGTGTATGAACTGAAATGAGGGATTCAAAAGCTCAGTTGTAAATAAAGGGAGAAAAGTGAGGATTTCTCCCTTTGTTTTTTTTTTTTGAATTTTTTGTTGTTCTCTGGACCTGGGGCGGTAGAGGAGCCTCAACTATTTTTTTTCTTCTGGGTCCGGAGGATTAGGGTTTCGTTCTTCTGTCGATGCCCGTAATCATGTGTAGAAATNAGGGTCCTCCCAATAAAAGCCAATTATTCCTCTTTGCTCAATTCATTTGCAGAGCTAGAGAGAGAATTTGATCTGACACAGTAATTTTCAAAGGGAGTGTATGAACTGAAATGAGGGATTCAAAAGCTCAGTTGTAAATAAAGGGAGAAAAGTGAGGATTTCTCCCTTTGTTTTTTTTTTTTGAATTTTTTGTTGTTCTCTGGACCTGGGGCGGTAGAGGAGCCTCAACTATTTTTTTTCTTCTGGGTCCGGAGGATTAGGGTTTCGTTCTTCTGTCGATGCCCGTAATCATGTGTAGAAATCAAGCTGGCCCATATGCGTTAGTGTTTAATCTGTGTATAACTTTTAGGGTTTAGATTTCTCTGTAAAGAAGGAGCCCTTTTTGTAAGTGAATCTGTCTGAGATGGACGGGAGGCGGATAACGGCGAGCCCGAGACCGTGCTGTGGGCGGCGAGTAGTGGCGAAAAAGCGGCCTCGCGGTGGTTTAGATGGGTTCGTGAACAGCGTGAAGAAACTGCAGAGAAGGGAGATTTCATCCAAGCGTGACCGGTCGTTCAGTATGAGTGACGCTCAGGAGCGATTTCGTAACATTCGCCTGCAGGTTAGTTTGATTAAAATATTTTATCTTTATTTTTCTTTCTTTGTTTCCAGTGGAATTAGCTCAAGGGTTTCCAATTGCTTGTGAAAGATTTGAACTTTGATGCTTCATATGTCTCAGTGATGGCTGATTTCATCGTTGAGCTAAGTAAGGGTTTCTGCGTGTTTCATTAAGCGTTCCTTGCATTTCTGCCGGTAAACCCACTTGGAATTTTCCTGTTTTTTGAGTTCATTGTCACTCCATTGGTACCTATCTGTTGTTATGTTTGTAGATCCGTGTTCTTGGGTTGATTTGAAATAATGTTTATCTTCTGTGCAGAGAGAGGATAAGGAAAATTGTATGTTTTTGGAATTGTACGATTGTCTGTATCTTAGATCACCTGGTGCAACTGCTGGGGAGATATTTTCTAATTGAATTTAGGAGGTTTATTATCTTCTTGGAAAATTGTTATGATTTTCTGTGTGATTTTGCTGACTTCCACAAGCTCCTCATGTAATTTTCGAGCATTGAACATTTACGAGGGTTTGGCAGTTTTCTAGGTTAATTAGGTTCCATGAATTTAATGTAAACAAGGCTCTTAGGATCTGTAGTAGTAAAGCAACTAAGATCATGTTCAAATTTTTTTCGATGTTCGGACTTTGTCTTTTTGCGACCTTTAGTCTATGTTACATATACAAAATGTGATTTCAGAAGTTGTAGTTGTCATTAGTACTTTTGTCACTTTTAGAATATAATTTTTTCTTACGTGAACACAATTTTGACTGATTCAATTGTATTTTGTCGAGTGTAAAGTTAGACTTTTTATTTCACCCTCCCATTGCTAGAAAGTCACATTTGCACTCTTATCAACTGTATTTTTGTCTCTGTATAGTCTGTGTTGTGCTGTCTAACCTTTGTGGAATCCACCACTTGAAACTTGTCTCCTTTCTTACGGATCTTACTGCAAGTTGCCCATGGCATCATAGTATTAATGCTATACGGTATGAGATGCATGTTATTGATCTAATAGGAACATATATAAAAAATATGCATTAAATTGATATCGGAAGAAAGTTAGCTATGGTCGATCTAATCCTTTATTTTTAAATGAGCAATTTCTCTACATTAGGTGATCTTAAATCTTGATCTGGAAAAAGGGATTTAAGGAGCAACAATCAAACAAGAAGTACATCAGCATTTTTAAATGAGCAATTTCTCTACATTAGTTGGAATTTTTACTTCAGGACTTCCAGTGATAGCAGAGCTGTTAGGTTTAATATATACATTGCCCGACTCTGGGACTTTATTCAATCATCTCAAGAGAATAATCAAAATGAAACATATATAGTGACAATGTGATGTGTTTTTTTGTGCATACTTGTGAACAGTTGTCTGACAATGTGATAGTTTTTTTCGTATGTGCTATCATTGGTGATATGATTTCTTTTTTTGGTGTGTTGAGTTGGAACTTGGAAGAAGCAAAAAGTGGATGTTTAATAGTAGCATGTCAAGTTTTATTTGCAGTGTATCATGTGAGAACCTCCAGTTGTATCAGGAGAGAAATGATAATTTTTTTGACTTATAATTTCTCACCAAATCTAATTGAGATATAAAAGCTAAAGGCTTCAGTGTGTGGCATTTTTAGGTACCAACCAACATATTTAGCCATGAATAGTTTTCCAAGTTGTAGATAGGACAGAGCTTTTTATATTTGCATTTTTTATTAACTTTTTCCCTTTCAGTGATTTCATTTGATGGCTGATAACTGTGGTTCAGGAGGAGTATGACACTCACGATCCCAAGGGTTATAGTTCTTTGTCATTGCCATTTTTGAAGAAGAGGTCAAAAATTATTGAGATTGTTGCTGCCCGTGATATTGTGTTCGCTCTAGCCCAATCAGGTGTCTGTGCAGCATTCAGCCGAGGTGCAGTGATATACTTGCTAATTATCTGCTTAAGAAAATGTTTTCATCTCAATCATTTGGTGTAGAAAAATGACTTATATGTAACCTGTTGTCTGCAGAGTCTAACCAGAGGATATGCTTCCTGAATGTCTGTCCCGATGAAGTTATCAGGAGCTTGTTTTACAACAAAAACAATGACTCACTCATAACAGTTTCTGTTTATGCCTCAGATAATTTTAGTTCTTTAAAATGCAGAACCACAAGGATCGAGTATGGAATTTTATTAATCATGTGTTTCTAGTGCTATCCATGCTCATGCTGTTTCTAATGTTTATCTGTTCTGATCTATTTTTCAGATACATTCGAAGGGGTAAACCTGATGCTGGTTTCCCGCTGTTTGAGACTGAGTCTTTGAAGTGGCCCGGATTTGTAGAGTTCGATGATGTGAATGGGAAAGTTCTGACTTATTCTGCGCAAGACAGGTATGTAACACTCTCATCTGTGAATCATCTGATGTATTTTGCTTAATTGAAATTTTCTGGTGCTTTGTTTTCCTTTTTGCAGCATATACAAGGTGTTTGACCTTAAGAACTACACCATGCTATACTCCATCTCAGATAAAAATGTTCAGGAGATTAAGATCAGGTAGATAATTGACGTTCTAAGGTGCTAACTTTTTCCACATGTTCATTTCATGCAAATATGTTGTTCCTGAACACATAATTCTTTAAATACATGTGATATACAGTTTCATTAATATTTGCTAATATTAAATTTCATTAATATTTGCTATCGAGTTTTCAGCATTCTTGAATTGATATACCGTTTATATGTGATATGAAATATTGTTTGGTGAGTTCTTAACTAGATTCGAGGAGTTGTTTTAGTTTCTCTTTGGGCATTACAGAAGTTTTTTGGAAACTGTGCTGTAGTATTGCCCTCTCCGCTAGAAGAACTCTAGTGTTTTTCTAATATGTGAAAATTATGTTGATCTAATCTGTTGGGTTCATTGTCCTTCAACAGCCCAGGTATCATGCTGTTGATTCTTACAAAAGCCCACGGTGGTGTCCCTTTAAAGATTCTCTCTATTGAGGATGGTACCGTCCTAAAATCTTTCAGCCATCTCCTTCACAAAAACAAGAAGGTTGATTTCATCGAACAATTCAATGAAAAGCTTCTCGTCAAGCAAGAGAACGAGAATCTCCAGATTGTCGATGTAACTTCATCTCTCTCTCTCTCTCTCTTTCCTGATTTTCATTTTATTCTGGTGTCTGAAATCTTGCTTTATGTAGGTCCGTAATTCGGAAATCACAGAAGTTAGCAGGACCGAGTTTATGACCCCATCTGCATTCATATTTCTTTACGAGAACCAACTGTTCCTGACATTCAGGAACCGAACAGTTGCTGTTTGGAACTTCAGAGGGGAGCTCGTGACCTCGTTTGAGGATCACCTCTTGTGGCATCCTGATTGTAATACTAACAACATATACATCACGAGCGATCAGGACCTCATCATCTCTTACTGCAAAGCCGACACAGAAGAACCACTTTCTGATGGACATGGTATGTTCACACAACTCTTTTGTTACATCATATACCCTTCATGTTTGACCTAATTCCAATACAATTACAACTATCTTTCACAAATTAANTTGATGTGCGATGTTCAAATTGCAGTGAAGGGCATTGTAAAATGTTAAAAAAAATAAAATAAAATAAAATCCGAATTTGTAGGAAAAATATTCGCCACCAGTGTAAGTCTTTTGACCTACCCTTCGAGATCAATTGCTCCGTAAATTCAACATTTTGACTGCTCATTCATTTTTTTTTCCAGCTGGTTCCATAAATATAAGCAATATCTTAACTGGCAAGTGCCTAGCCAAGATAAAGGTGAGCAACGGTCTCCCCACGAACGAATGCTACTGCAGCTTAGATTGTTCCGGAAGAAACTGCAGCTCGAGAAAGCGTATCACGACTTCAAGAATTCGAAGCACTGTGGCCGAGGCCCTTGAGGATATAACTGCCCTATTCTACGATGAAGACCGTAATGAAATCTACACTGGTAATAGGCTCGGCCTCATTCATGTATGGTCCAACTAAAAAAGCGAGTAGCCGGTTTTTTCGAGTCTCGGAATTTCATGATTTGTGGCTTCTTTTACTACTACATACACCCCCCCACATCGAGGGGGGTGATAGATACACTCGGTGTGATGTTTAATTGTACCTTTTTTTCTAGAGTTATGTTGGATTGACTTTTTTTTCGGGTGTGATCTTGACTGAGGTGGTTTGATTGTTCATGTTGTAGATTTGTTGTGTCGGGTTAAATTTGTTGGGCTCTCGTTGGGGAGCAGTCGAACCTTGCCGAATTGTTTACTTTGCATTTTGAGTTGGAAATTTGATTGTTCAACTAGTTGTGATCATTATGTGTTGAATGGTTTCTGTATTTGAGTTGGGGTGTTTGTCTGGTGTGTGTGGTCATTCATGAAGTGGATGTAAAGCCATTAGTAGTATGAGAAGCATTAACTTTCTCTGGTTATATATTCTTCCTGAGAAAAAAAAAATGTATTTCTTCCCCTCCGATTTGCGTAAACGACAATGGACTTGTTCGGATGTTAGCAGATTGATGTAAAGTTAGCAAATGTAACTTGTTTGATCCGATAACTGGTTTTTTTGGTAAACTGGTTTGTTTGGTAAAGAGCTTATTTGATTAATTTTTTCAGTCCAAATTGTTAATTTTGCAAAAGTTCAAATGTAAGAGCGTTTTGAGAATAGATGATTTGAATAACATGTTAATATAAGATTTACCTTATAATTCTTAAAGTTAATTTAGTTTAAAATCAACCCCTAAGCGTGCTTAGAATGTTTAGGACTTTTATTTTCAATTTTTGTGCTTTGATGACTAAACTTGAAACTTAGCTCCGAACAACTTTTAGACAACTCGTGGTTGGTTTTTACGATTGAATTTGACTAAAAATACTACGAATAAATGGTGCAGTTGCCTAAGAAGGCTAGTAGGACGCCAAGTTCCACTTTCTAGTTGTCATTTGTTTACGTGTTACTCTCACCTTTTGTGATATTTGCTTAATTTTTGCGTTTCGCTTGCTTTCTCTTAATTTTAGGACTTAGTAATATTTTGTGTATTGTTGTTGCTTTTGGTTTTGTCATCCATTGGTCCATTCATAGGTGTAGTGAGTGTTTTTGTGCATGCAAGGGACGAATCATACATAGGAGCACTCAAGACGAGGTTCCGAGGATAAATCTCTATGTGGAGTTTAATATTAACCAACCACCACCTTAATCACCAATAATGGCGAATGAAGAGGAGCATTTGCCGCCACCTTCCCCGAATGTGTTACTTCGCATGCCTGATCATTGGGGATAATCATCATATTTGGTACTCGGGAAAGCGACCCAAAATTATATGATTTAAAGACTATCCACCTCAACTAACTTCACTCATTCTACAGCCTACTTCAAGAACGCATCTTGAACTTCACCCGAGAGTTTTATGCTATGGTGAACATATTTTCTCTACATGGCCTTAATGAGAACCAACTTCAGATGCGTTGCTTTCCTTACACTTTGAAGGACCAGACAAATACATGGTATATGACCCTCCGTTCGAATTCACTTACCAATTGAGATACGGTGTATGAGAAATTCATGAGAAAGTACTACTCCTATCAAAATACTACGGACCTTCGGGCACAAATGACGAGTTTTAGCCAAGCTCCGAGAGAGACTTTCCATGAGACATGAGAGCGTTTCAAAGACTACCAACTTCAATGTCCGCACCACCACATTTGCCTTGGGTACTAAATCAATTCTTTTATGACGACCTTCATCAAACTTTTCAATATATCGTGAATCACGTGACGAAAGGTGACATCGGGAGTCATACCGAAGAAGAGATCTATGAGTGTTTAGAACTTTGTTTTCTTTTTTTTGAATAAAATTTATTTAGTATATAATGTTTTTGTTATATTTTTTTGTTTGTGACATTCATTCTAAAAAATATGAAAAGGAAAAATTATAATTTCGGTCCACAAACTTATGTCGTTTTTTTTATTATTGTCTAATAATTTATTGAGGGCCGAAAATGGACTATAATTCTTAGTTTTTAGTGAATTTGGTCCAATTCTATCTCACCCTTTGAAAGTCGATCGAAATTTGCTGAGTTGAAAATTGAAACAATTGACCGTCGATTAATATGAGTGTGGACCGTGTGGTGGCTATACCATCTATGCCACGTGGGGATTGGGCATTTTAACATAAATTTGATCAAGTTGCAGAAAATTATGCAAATAAAATTAATGCTTATATGGATCATACATATAAATCAAATGTTAGACTATTACATTTCATAAAAATATAAAAGCAAACTATTTTTGTCAATATGTATGCAACTCGATGAAATTGTTCATTAATTATTCATCATACAGGGATGAAGCTTTCCAGATTAATCAACACAAACCTTAAGAAAAACCAGAGACTTAAAAATATAAAATCACGTTTATATTGCCATGAAAACATCATATAGTGATACATAATTCGTTTTTCATAGATACTTCAACTGGGACAGAACAGAAGTTTGAACTTTCGAGTGTGGGTGGCCTTTTGTGTCAAATGAGATTTGTAACTGGAACTGACTTGCTACATGTAACTAACTATAATCAAGAAAGAGAGAATATGGCAGTGGTGGTGTTGTCTTATTCGAATTCCATCGGCATATCGGATTTCGACATGTGGACAATGTAGGTCTTCTTAGATGCTGTGGACACGTGGCAAATAGCTAGAAATAGTTGTGATATTACTACAAGCACTAAAACTGAGGGGATTTGGATTTTCTTCTCCATTCTTATGTCTTAGCCAGAGATTAATTGATCAGTTTGAGAGGAAGAAAATTGAGTGTCTGTGGGTGTGTTTTCTGTATGATTTTATATGCAAATGGATCAAACAGGTTGACGTAATATCACGCGTTGATGTTGACGTCATCATTCATACGGGATTCAGTTTAGCTGTTACGTTTCCTATTCTAATCAAGCTACTAGATTAGCTGTTACGTTTTCTACTTTTCTGCACATGAATCATACTTCTACATGTACTTTTAATCTTTGGTAAGATATTTAGTTTCCACAAAGTTTTCCACCACCAGGTTTTTGAAGAGGAAGAGAACTCCATGGAGCCAGATGACCGTTGCTTGAGCTAATGGTAACCACTCTTCACTGTGTAATTCCCGTTTTCGGACAAAATTGTATAGTTATGCGGCCAAATTTAATTGCACAAACGACGGAAATTAAGAATCTTCAATAGTATGGTGAGTTTTCTATAGCCGAGTGCAAGCGAAATTGTGTAACCGTCATGTTTAATCTTGAAACGTAGGTATTTTACGATGAGTGCGCTCAACGTTGTTAGAACACAAATAAACAACTAGAATAGCGGAAGCAATAAACCGAAGATTTAAAAAACTCTTCAGGGAAGCGTCCCACTTCCCCTTAGAGCTCTTTCATTGATAACTCGATTGTGCACATGCGTATAGTTTTGGAATTACAGCAACTAGAACTCCCTTCTAGCCTAACCAACAACTATACTCGAATCTACCAACTACTTCTCCGGCCACGTTCCGTGGACTTTAAATAACACTTAATCCCTAAGTGCTGATTATAATAATGTTTGAAATACAAAGAAAAGAAAACAAAACGACTTCAGTTCTTCGATATGTAAGAACACCGAAAACTGAACTGAGAACTAAAATAAAAGAAGACTTGAAGCTCGAATAGTATATGAATAATAATGATCTCAGCAGCCTTGATTCGATCTTCAAGTAGGGTATATATACAACTCCTTAGGCTTGGAGTCTTTTCCAAGTTCTTTCCTTCTTTCACGATCTCCTTTGATCTTCTTCCCAAAAATAGTGTAGTAACATGGAAAGTAAATCTTCCTTGATTGTATGTGATTTGTAGATCTTCAGAATTGAGTTTCCAATGGAAATCTCGTGGTTCCAGACTCGTGTAAGAACACAACTTTCCTAGAATAGCCGATCTTCCAAATCTTCAAAGATCTTATGGTGAACCTTTCCAAATCCTCTTTAGATCTTCTAGATAACGTCCAGAATTCCTTATGCACGAATTGCTCATCCTTTCATAGTCCTTGCCACCTATTCCTTGTCATAACAAGAAAATCTTCTAGAAAACACTTAGGTTTTTCGGATGATTCCAAACCAATAATCTTACAAATCTTTTTGGAGGTGTAACTACAACAAAAATTCTAGGAATTAAGCGTATGTTTCCGTTCTTACAACTTGAACTAAAAAATAGAAAACAAAATACAATTTGAAAGCGGTAAGACAAAGTTGAGACGAGTGTTTCTCTTTCTGCAAGACGAATATCCCCCGAAATGTGCTGACGGAATCAGGCGTCTAATTTCCAAAGATATAACGACTGGCGTTTTGAATGTTGCAACATAACTAGGGCTGTAAACGAGCCGAGCCGAGCTCAAGCTCAAGCTCGAGCCCTTAACGAGTCGAGACGAGCTCGGCTCGTTAAATAAAGGGCCAGAAATTGAGCTCGAACTCAGCTCGTTAAGGTCTCGACCTCGAGCCTTAATGAGCCGATCTCGAGCCTTAACGAGTTGAACTATAAAAAATTATATAAAAATTCTCTTTCGAGCCGATTTGAGCTCAGCTCGTTAACTAAACGAGCTTTAAGTGAGCTCGAGCTCGGCTCGTTAAGACCTTGAACTCGAGCCTTAACGACTCGAGCTTAACCCGAGCTGAGTCAGACTCGTTTAATTTAATAGCACTAAGCACAACAGGCTTCCACTTGATAACAACCGAAACGGTAAGGTGGAAGGTCACACGTCCAGATTTAGTGAATATAGTGAAGATCACATCAGTTGGTGATGTAGGGGAGCGTACGAGTGAGAAAGATATTAATGACCAACTCGATTAGGATTTCAATTTGGGCAACACTTTTGCAAATTGGGCCAATTGGCAATGACCAAGAACCAAGGCCAAGTCCCAAACCCATGTCCAGGTCCTAGGCCCAAGTCCCAGTCCTTGTGCCCAAGCTCGTTCCCTTGTCGTGCCGCGCCGGGCTGGCAAGCGCTCGCGCGAGTGTGTGTTCGAAGTCATCACCAACACTTGGTACATAGGTTTTTTGTTGTTGTGACTGCTCAAACTCTCTTTATTATAATAAGACATTCAATCTCATTTAAGGGTTCAACGTGGGATAAAACTATTGACTCTTTCAATCCCACCATTTTACGTGTCTATTTATGGTTAACTTTAGTTATTCATTTTTTCACTCACTTATAATCAATTTTGAAAAAATAAATATACCGCGAGTATCTACTCGACATGTAAATTTTTGTACACAATTTAATTAAATCCTAATTAAATATTTAGCCATGAGAATATCAGTCAAAATCGTCGTAAGAAGCATCTAAATTTTTTTAAACTTTTCTTGAACAACGCTTGTATTAATTAGGTCAATAAAATTAAAAAGATAACACGTTTTCATAATATCTTTCTTTATTTTTTTATTATTTTTTAAAAAGGTACCACGTTTTGATAATATCTTTCTTTAATTTTTTATTATTTTTTATTACAATTTTGTTTTCTTTTTACTTTTTAGTCTACATTGATGCCGTGAGACACAGCTTACTAGAAGACTGGTCTTCCTTGAATGAATAGCCCTTTGCTACTAACACGCTTGGTCGTCTACATTTTAATTTAGTGATAATGTTTTGATATGGTGTCGTCCATATCAAATCAAAATTATAAATTTTAATATCAACTTTAGAATATATGGGTTAAAAATGTCAATATAATTGGAAGCGTAACAGCTAAGCCAGTAGTTAGATCAGACCACACCAAAAACTGTCAACATCAGATCATGATGATATAAAGTCCGCCTGTTTGATCCATTTGCATATAAAAACACACCAAGAAAACACATTCACAGACACTCAATTTCTTCCTCTCAAACTACTCAGTCTCTGGCCAAAACATAAGAATTAATGGAGAAGAAAATCCAAATCCCCTCAGTTTTAATGCTTGTAGTAACATCACAACTATTTCTAGCCACATGCCACGTGTCCACGGCATCCAAGAAGACTTACATCGTCCACATGTCGAAATCCGATATGCCGATGGAATTCGAAGACGACCACGAGCTCTGGTACACCTCGTCCCTCAAGTCAGTGTCGGGCTCTGGCAAGATGCTCTACTTGTACGACCACGCGATGCATGGCTTCTCGGCCGCCCTCACTGAGGACGAGGCCCGAGAAATGGAGGACCTACCCGGTGTCCTTTCAGTCAAGCCCGACAGAAGGCTCGAGCTCCACACGACCCGAACCCCCACATTTCTGGGCCTGGACAAATTAGATGGCGACTTCAAGTACCTGCACAAGGCCCAACAGCAGAGCGTGGTCATTGGAGTGATCGACACCGGCGTCTGGCCCGAGAGCCCGAGCTTGGACGACACGGGCTACGGGCCGATCCCAAGTTGGTGGCGAGGCGAATGCGAGAATGGGATCAATTCCAATGTATCCATGTGCAACAAGAAGCTGATCGGGGCCAGGTACTTCAACCAAGGCTACCAACAGGCTTCCAATTTGTCGACGGAGTCGCAATCGCCGCGGGATGACGAAGGCCACGGGACCCACACCATAACCACTGCCGGCGGATCATTCGTGAGCAACGCAAACCTGCTCGGGTACGCCAACGGGACGGCGCGCGGGATGGTGCCGTGGGCAAGGGTCGCCGCGTACAAGGCCTGCTGGACCAACGGCTGTCAAGAGGCCGACATAGTCAAGGCCATCGACACAGCCATCGGCGACGGAGTCCACGTGCTGTCCATGTCTTTTGGGAGCCAAATGCACGTTAAGTTTTACGGCGACCACGTCGCCATTGGAGCATTTGCCGCCGCAGCCAAAGGTATCTTCGTCTCCTGCTCGGCCGGAAACAGTGGCCCTTCCTCGTACAGCGTCACAAACGTGGCGCCGTGGATAGCCACTGTCGGAGCCGGGACCATAGATCGAGACTTCCCGGCCTACGTCAAGCTCAACAATGGGAAAACTTACGCAGGCGCATCGCTCTACAGCGGTCCTTTGCTTTCTGGCCCATTGCCCATTGTATATGCTAGGAGTGTAAGTACAAACAACATCCCCTACTGTCTAAGTGGCACCCTCATCTCGGAACTGGTTAAGGGTAAGATTGTGTTGTGCGACCGCGGGTATAATCCTAGAGTCGAGAAGGGCATGGCGGTCAAGAATGCCGGTGGGGCCGGCATGATTCTAGCCAACACCATGGGCGACGGAGAGGAGTTGGTGGCCGACGCTCACGTTCTTCCGGCCGTAGCTGTCGGCCAGATTGCGGGCGACGAGATGAAGAAATATATCTCCTCCTCCTCCTCCGCTCAAAACAATAACCTCAATGCCACATTCCAGTTTGGCAGGACGAGGCTCGGTGTCAAGCCGTCGCCGGCGCTCGCCGCCTTCAGCTCGAGGGGCCCGAGCGAAATCGTGCCCGAGGTGCTGAAACCGGACCTGATCGCGCCAGGTGTCGACATCCTAGCCGGGTGGTCACGGGCCGCGGGTCCCTCGGGCCTAGAATTCGACAACCGCAAGGTCGATTTCAACATAGTGTCGGGGACATCGATGTCGTGCCCCCACGTCAGCGGCCTGGCGGCTCTGCTCAAGGCGGCCCACCCGGACTGGAGCCCGGCCGCTATCCGCTCGGCCCTCATGACCACCGCCTACAATAACGACACCGATGGCAACCCCATGAGAGACTTGTCCACGGGAAATGCATCCACGCCGTTTGGTTACGGAGCCGGATATGTTAACCCTGTTCGAGCCCTAGACCCGGGCTTGGTCTACAATCTGACCACGGAGGACTACTTGAATTTTCTCTGTGCAATAAACTACACGCAACATTATATCAAACTCGTCGCACAACAAATAAGTTTCACTTGTGACCCCAAAATAAGGTACAACACGACCGAGTTTAACTACCCATCATTTGTCGTTCGGGTGCCATTCAATATGACTGGTACAAGAACGATTACACATAAGAGAACGGTTACCAACGTGGGATCAAGCGGGTCGACTTATAATGTCTCCGTCTCTTCACCGAGCAGCTCAGTCAAGATTTCCGTTTCACCGGCAGAACTGAGTTTCCGTAAGCCAAATGAAACGATATCTTATACGGTCACGTTCGAAATAACTGAATCAATGCCGCCAGGTACATATCAGTTTGGGAAAATTATATTGTTTGATGAGAAACACGTTGTCGCGAGCCCGATTGCAATCGGTTGTTGGATTTAATTAGTACTGCTGCCACAAAAGGTCACACACGAAAAGTTCAAACTTCTGTCCCAGTTAAAGCATCTATGGAAAATGAATTATGTATCACTATATGATGTTTCAATGGCGATATAAACTTGATGTTTTGTGTAAGTCTCTGGTTTTCCTTAAGCTTTGTATTGATTAATGATAGCCCGAAAAATATACTAATTTATATATCTATTTATACATTTAGTTTATTCGCACGTGTATTATTTTTTGGTCTTATTTATTATGTAGATGGATCTATTTTGCTTTGATTATTGTATGCTTTATTTTCACAACATTGTGTTTTTAAAGCCCATACATGAATTAGAGCCTTGCATTGATTGGATGGTCATGTTTTGTTTTAAAGAAAGAGAAGATTTTTGTTGGAGTGGATGGATTTGGCAGAGTTTTACTTCGTTGGAGAATTATTTTTGGCTTGGACAATCCTAATGTGACAAGTAAACACGCAGCATATATGAGGGCAGCGAGTGGTGTTGGGAAAAATACGCTGAATTTTCCATGAAGTCGAATCTATAAAAGTGAAATAAAAAATAAAAATTGGACACGCCAAATTGATAACGGAGTTCGGCCAATAATGCCTACGTCTCCGGACTACTGCAGATATTTTATTGGGAAGAAAAATACACTCGTGTTTACAAAACACTCTCGAAACTCACTCACAACTCACAACACAAATACACACAGAAACTAAATTCTTGCTTCTTATTCACTCTATTTCTCTCTCTTTCTTTCTTTGTGTTGGTGTTTTGTTGTGATATCCGTTCATCAAATTGCTCAGCTATTTATAGAAGAAAGATTGCTCAAATATGTCAAAAATTGGCAGCCCACATTCTTCAAAGTCTGCTGCCCACGTTTTTTTTTTTTTTTTTTTTTTTTTTTTTTTTTTT